GAAAAGTTGGTCATTAATTAACAGCCTTATTGGTAAGACCTCGAAAGATAATAACATTATGGAACTCTGTGTCGATGATTCTTCCACTTCAAATGATTATGTAATTGCAGAAACTTAATGTCTCCATTGGTTCAAAATTAGCTTCTGAGTCCTGCAGTGACTCGATGCATGCGAAAAAGCCTAATAATACCCCACGCTCAAGCACAATTTTAAAGTTTTCTGAAATAGGAGTGGAAGAGGTCACTGCTGGGTTGTGTAATCTTAAAATATCAAAAGCAACTGGCATCGATATGATACCTTCTTGTGCTCTCAAGATAGCTGCAGATATTATTGCACTATGGCTCACTATAAATAAATTACAACACCACACCACCAAAACGAAGCTAATGATCATTGGATCGGCACAAAATCTAAAAGAAAAGGTTTGAGATTCCCCAGTAATGATGAATGGGAAAACGATCCCTTCAACTGACTCCTTTGATTGCTTAGGAGTGATAATTGATAAAAGATTACTCTGGGACAAACATATTGAGAAAATATGCAAAAAAGTGGGCGCTGGAATGAAACGCAGTTATGAAACTAATCAAGCCGTTTGTTTGTCACTATTGAAACTATGACATTAATTTATAACACCCTTATACAGCCATATTTTGATTACTGTTCTCCCCTTATGGGATAATTGTTGTGCTTATTTAAAGGAAAAACTTCAAAAATTTCAAAATCGCGCGGCTAGAATAATTGCCGGTGCTAGTTATGAAATTCCATCGGCTGACGTTCTTGAAACTCTTGGTTGGGAAGCACTAGAAGTGAGACGTAAAAGGAATAAAGCAATCTTAATGTATAGAATTTTAAATAATCAAGGTGCATCGAGTTTGAAAGAATCGTTCACTAGGATTAGTGCTCTGGAAATTGATTATAATCTTAGAAATTCGAGTACTGATTTGGTTCTCCCACATCCCAAAAGAGAATTCCTCAAAAATAGCTTTAAATTTAGCAGGGCGAAACTTTGGAATAGGCTCCCTTTGCAAGCAAAACTAGCTCAATCTGAATATACCTTTAAAATGAATATTAATAGTCTTGATACATAACTTACTTATTTCTTCGTAATCTTGTAAATATTCTTGTAAATTACTTTATTTATTCAAGTGTGTTCCGACGCCTCTCATGGAAACCAGCTTGTAGCTGATGAGGCTAGCGTCGTTTATCGAATATATGAATATGCACACCCCTCCCCCCTAATTTTCGGTCTAGCTACAGCCCTGTGAGAGTAATGTTAAATATAAACCACAAAGTTAGAAAAAAACATTCAAAAGACCCATTACCTCTATGTTTTAATGATCAATATTCAACGAATAACTATAAATCACAATCGACACAATTTGTCTCATTGTCTTTTCCTATCGTTTTTTCTTCCACATACCTATGCAAAACATGAGGAGTTAAAAATAAAACAAAATTCACTTTTCAATTAATAAAGGCAAGGTAACCTGGTCAGTGAAATCCCCATGCAAACAATGTATACATATTTCCATGTGTCCAGTGATATGTGGTAAAAAGATACCAACCACACCCCAACCTAAACCTACCATTAACCCCCCACCTACCAAACTACCTCCTACCTTCCCACCAACACCCAGGCCACCAACAACTATACCACCACCGACATTACCACCACCAACCCGACCACGTACAACCAAATCACCACCAGTAACATCTCGACCACCCACACAACCACCACTTACACCGGCACCACCAGTAATCCCCTCTCCTCAACCTCCAGCGCCCCCAACACAACCACCACCTCTTACCCCAGCACCCCCAGTAATTCCGCCACCAGTAACTCCGGGTCCGCCAGTAACACCAGCACCCCCAATACAACCACCATCACCCACGCCTCCACCGCCAATACAACCAACATCACCCACACCAGCACCTCCTATACAACCAACATCACCTACCCCTGCACCTCCAGTACAACCACCATCACCTACCCCTGCACCTCCAGTACAACCAGGAGAATGTAAGTAAGGAAACTAGTGAAGACAGTAAAGTTTTTGTGGAATTATTAATTATAGTATATGAATGAATACAATAGCTGACCAAATAAATATTATACCACACATATTTTATAAAATAACGTTGTATGCAATCTATATCTCCATTAATTATGATGCAATACAACATCTTCAGAGCTTTGAAGTGAATTTTACATGGCATGTTACATATATTTACAATAAATAGTTTTAGATTACGAAAACGGAAATTTTAAAATTTTAAATGTTATAACAGTTTTCGTAATTCTTCTGGATTGGCTTCATACTCAGTGTAGGATGTTTTCCTGTAAAGCAAAACAAACAAACAAACTACTTCTATATTGAATTTATTTCTACAATTGTTTTAATATTTTTCTAGTATCATGTCCAATAGTTGTTGAGAAGAAAGGATGTTTTAAAGACGATCAAAAGCCTCCACGTCCTCTTCCCAATTACATTTTAACAGATCGTGATAGCAGTTTAAAGATCTATAGTGGCCAGGGGGTTGATTGGGGAAACTGGGTTAACTATCTACCTGATTTGGTGTGTCGCTGTGCTCAGCTTGCTAAATCTAAAAATTTCAAATTCTTTGGAATACAATATTATGGTATGTGCTAGATTTTCAAAACTAAAACTATTTTTTTCCGTCCTTGATTTCGTGCGATTTTCTTGAAACTGGAATCTTGAGATCTTCTCATTAATCTTTATTTAAGGTATCTCTTTTTTCCATGATTTACCTCTTAATCGCCTCTTGTTCTAGCATTGATGTTTACAGTAATTTATTAATTTTTAAACTACTTTTCTGTTCTATACCAAAACGTGTGTTTCTATTAATACTGAAGCACTCAAATTTCAATTATAATATTATAATTAGTATTAATTAGTATTAGTATAATTACATAGGTGATTATTGAAAATTCTCCACGCTGATTGGTTGCCGTTGAGGTGATTATTACGCGATAATCACCTAAGCGATTTTCAATTTTTCAATTTTTTTTCCCAAATAATCACCTATGAAATTATACTAAAACAATTATTCACCTCAGGCTCGGTGATTATCATGAATAAAAACCTCGACTTCGTCTTGGTTTTTATTCACCGATAATCACCTCGCCTTCGGCGAATAATTGTTAAGTAATTAATATTATATTATAATTAGTCTGAACTGCATTCATTTTGTTTTCCTATTTTTATTTTACTGCCGTTTCAATATATATTGTGTATTCAAACAGTACCTTCAAAGAAATGTAATTTATATATAACCTTGACATTTGTTTCATATAAAAGGTAGCGGCATGTTACTTATTTTATGTTCTCGCCTGGTTATTCTATATCCTTCTTTATACATATGTAAACCTCAAAACTCTCTCAGAATATTTTCTGCAAGTCACGAGAAATATCAACTGTTCTACTTTACCAGGAGAATGCTGGTCTGGTCCCTCACCAGATGAAAGTTCGTTCAAAGAAGACGGAAGCTCAACGGAATGTGTCAACACGGACTGGAAAGAATGCTCGGATCAATCCAAATTTGCTTGTGCTGGAAAACAGTTCAATAATTACGTTTACGCTATTGTTTCATAGAATATTTGTAAACAGTAGCCTGCAGGGTCTTGATTTGAGGGGTTGGGGGGAAACAAACATAAATTCTGAACACAAGCGCGCCAACAGCGAGATAGCCCCAGGCAAGTCCAGAGGCATGCTCTCCCGCAGTCCCCTCCCACTTTTTGTCCGGCATTTCGCAAGAATAGTTCTGGAGGAAACTTGCGGGGGGGGGGGGGGG